AGCAAAAGTAACACTTAAGATAAAAGTAACTAAGTAGATTCAGACATCTTTTGAGAATGAATGTTGAATACAGAAAAACTAATACGCCTTATCAAAATAAGAGTGACTTCTGGGACTACATTACTGAACAATCCCCCATTTACTGCTTCTTATCCCTTATCGCTTTTACTTGAAATCAAGATAATTGTGGTATTTAAACAAACAGGTTAATGGGCAGGCAAAATAAACATCACAATCAAAAGCCTCCACTTAAGTACTGGTGCACATCTACGCACCACAACACATGGAAATTATTTCACAGGCTGAGTGGATCAATAAGAGCTAAACAGCTCTGATGACTGTCAAAAAATGGTACTTAGACATGCTCGGAAACAGAGCATTCCTCTGAAACTTTACCGCCTTTCTGCTAGCTCCCCCTTTGGATGCCTCTCACTGCAACACCACAAAGATGCAGAGGGAGCCTTAAAATAAAACCAGAAAACGTAGCTACTTCTGCAAGCCACTGCTTTCAAGAACTGTTACCATGCGTCAGGCATTCACTTGCAAAGGGAGTGTCAATATTTATCAGCTTTCCTGTGCGGGCTAGTCTGCAATCAAAGCTCAAGAGTTAATGATTCCCCCTGTGAAAACTCCAGTTGGCCAAGCCGAAGGGCTGGGCTCGATCGACGCCTGCAATCTGTTATTCATGCAGCCCTACAACATGAAGTACAGAATCCCTCAGGTGAGACTTGGAGCACAAGGTCAATATTTCATTTAAGGTTCATTTTCCTTCTTCCTGCAGGGCTGGTCCACTTAGTGAGCTCTGAAGGCTGGTATCTTGTTACTGCATCAAGGCTGTAACCATAGCCAGCTGCTGGCAGGGGCCCAAGCAACTTGCACACACTGCAGAGCCCTTTAACCCTCCTCACTCCAAACCAACACTGCTACCAGAACACCGAATTTCAGGTATTTTCAGTGTCCTTTGTTTTGTACTCACGGTTCCATCATCTGAGGAAAGAACAGAAAGTTGCCATTCAGGCTATAGGATTTCATCTTAACATCACTCCTCTGCCAGCAGCTGCTGTTGACCATTTCTTTTCCCTTCTAAGCAATAAAGTTTTATTTCTGAAATCCCTTTAAGACTTTGCTTTTGCTTTGTTTGCCATTTGTGACTGCTTATTTAATACTAAAAGCAGGGACCGCTGAAGTGATGTTGGTTACTAATAAACATGTTCTGCTTCAGAGCCTGAACACATCCTCTCAGAGTCAAATTGGAAGATCAAGTAGTTTTACCTAGATTCGAATCTCCCATTTTCCAAGGGAGCACCTCAAACAGTCGCAGGATGTAAGAAATTTGACTTTCCTATTTAAAGAGGACAATTCTGTTTCATTGTTGTTGTTTGTTGGTGTTTTTTTTTTTTTGGGGGGGGGGGGGGGGGGGGTTGTTATAAGGATACAGTGGTCAAGACTGTCTCACAGGTGCTCAGTAACAGAGAATCCTATGGGCTAGTTCTGGAAGAACACTCTCAGATGACTGATGAAGCTTAAATATTCTTCTATGCTTCTTTCCCCCAAACAGGTTCATAGTAAATCTCCACTTGACTCTTTGAGGACAGACAGAACACAGCAGTTAGACATCAGCATTTTAACTTGAAAAGCTTATTGTGACTTGCTGCTAAGCAGGAAAAAAAAAATCACGAGAACTGCAGTCCCATCCAGCCCTTTATACTGCCTTTATCGCTAGTGAGGAACAAAGGCTGTAAGGACAGACGGATGTGCTTTCCCGATCAACAAGGGCATGCTACCTGGAATCAAGATTAAAAAACATAAGATAATTTTAAATACCATGGGGTGGAGTAGAAAAATATCTCCCCCTTGGAGCTATGAGAAAGGCCACAAATTCCACTATCCCCCCCACCACTTTACCATTATAATTGTCACTGCCAGTTTTCACAGCATTCCCTTTTTAGTAGCCTCAGCCTATATCCACAACTGGCACCAGCTGAAGTTTCTGGAGGTTTTGTGTTTGTTACAATCCAACTGCAGCATGAGGCCAAACCACGGGATGCACCAGCAATGAGGGAACTCCTCCTCCATACGCAGTGTCCTGGTGAATTATTCAAATGAGAATCTCAAAATAGTTCATTCACCACACATCCAGCGAAGCAAACGCTAGAAGCAAATCTGAATATATTCCCAGGGCTTGAAAAGACTGTAATTAACTGGTCATTTGCAGTGGGTTTGTCTCAGTCATGCATTTTAAAGGACTACACACAGGTTCAGACCCCGGAAACACCCTGGCCACATATACAATGCCCACACCAACTACTTAGACATGTCTTTGACATCTTGCAATGAGACTGACGGATGAAGAAGAGTTTACAGCCCTCAGCTGGGACAAAAAAGAAATATTACCCTAAAGTAAAATTTTAAATTAATCAAGTGTCTAACTTTAGAGCAACTATGACTCTTACTCTCTAGTTTTCAGATACCACAATCTCAAAGCAATGAGGAAGGAACCAGGAGAACACTGCCACTTAGTGGAAAAGGAGGATAGGAAACATCTACTACTGCTGCGAGTAAAGCTGCTTTTATAGTAATGTTCCATCCTCCCCCATCCCAAGTGAATTTCTTAACAGCATGGCTAGTGCAACTCCATCACTGCCCCACACGATGCTTTCCAACAACACACCTGCTCCATTACCAGCACAGCGCTGGGCTGCCTTGCAGCGTACTGCACAGAGAAGGAGGCTACTGCCTTTTTCACTTAAAGACAACAATTAAGGATGACATAAAAGTCTGAAACTGCTGATGTTCAGATTTGCCTCCCTGGTATTCTTCTCAAATCCTCACTTTCCATGCCACGCTAAGATGGAAGGAATTGTGTTTTACTTTATATCTGTGAAGGCCAAAAGCTACAATCAATTTTAGCTAGTTTTGTAAGGGAGGTAACACCAGCTTGACAGATGGTAACTTTATACTGAAGCGGAAAAAGTGGTCCACTTATGATCTAAATAACCATTTTTCTCTACCACTTCAGCTCACCTGCATCGTTTGTTGTTAACCACTAAGAATGCTGTTACCTGAACTGCCTGTTTCTACTCAGGCATGTCTGTGCTGAATAAGAACATTCCAAATTCGAGAAGCTGAGAGGAAAGATGCCCATTCTACTTACTGTCATTTTTACGATCTGTTCAGCCTTTTCTTCTGACATTTTTACAATACATAAAAATCTCAAAACGTTTCTCTTTGAACAAAGAACAATTCATATACAGCCACTTCAGTTCTTGTGGAGTTCTTATTTCAGAATGCACCCAAGATACCAAATTCTTTTAAGGTAGTTTCTTGCTTCCCCACTGAAGCTGGGGCACTGCTCTGTAGCCACATGGAGCTCCTCTTCTGAAGGGAAAAATGCATCTGTATGGTAACATGTAGAACTCACTGAAATCAAGAAGCTTTTTAAATAAGCTAACATGAAGCATTAACAACATATTAAAGCAGTAGCCACACAACTCAGCTGGAAGATTTCCATCTTTACTCAGACAAGAACTACCCTAGTCTGATTTTCATCTTTCTCTAGCTGCCAGACTTTTTCTACATTGTCCTGAAGTCATAGAGTCCTTCTAGAGGAGGCAGAAATGCACACACTTCCAGCAGGGCCCTCCTAACATTCATTAGGATGATATACACCACAAATCTCATTTGAGAGAAACCCATCTATTTGTCTTTCAAGAGGTGTAAGCAAATAGTATTTACTTGAATCTAGTATTTTTTTTTAAACAGAAGCATTTTGCTAGTATGCTTAACCAGGCATAATGTAAAAATTTAAGAGCAGAAGAGGGATAAGAATGCAATGGCTTTCCTCTCTTCCAAGAACCACCCCCCAAAACAAAACAAACCATAAATTTAGTTTCATTGCAGCAAGGAAAGTAGACAATCCATTCCATTTCCAAGTGCCTCCTACTTCTGTGCCAAGAGTACCACAAGATATTTCACACATGTATGCAAGAGACTTCACCAAGTGCAGTAGAGCAGCCAAGTTTCAGCTCTGCTTGTCACTGTAAACCCATACAAGTGTTGCAGAAACTGGAAGAGGGTGCTGCTACAAATCTCATTTCAGCAGGATAGCTAAACACATCCATTTGCCTTCTCATGGTTCCATGAAAGCCCTAAGCTAATTCACATGCTCTGCAGAGTTTCAGCTTGCTATATGGCCCTCTGGATTCCTAAGCAGAACTCGGAGATTGTCTGCATCCTTCAGGAAGCTACTGGATAAAATAAAGGCCTTTTCAACTGTCATTCATTCTGTATCCCACACAACTGCTTATATTACAGTGGGGACTGATCTGATGGAGAAAATTGTGCACACTTCTCTGTCAGTTTTCAGGTGGATTTGGTACATTGTCTTTCTCCATGTTCTTTGCCTGATGCGTTCTTACATGCTGCTAAACACATTGTTCAGCAGAAACAGGATGTAACCTCACAATAAAGATTATTTCAACTATTTATGATAATTATCTGGGGATCTCACCACATTTACCACTTTGTTAAAAATTAAAAAAAAAAGTCTTTAGAAAACAGTTTTGTTTGGAAGGAGAGAGGAGACACCTGAGTTGATTCTGACATGACCTCTAGGAGCATAAGATCACTTAAGTTGTTCTAACCAAATGAAGTCTTTCAGCTGATGCTGGTCAGACATAAGAGAATTCTGTAGTGAATACTACGTCTCCTGGATCACTGCAAAATATAAAAGATGCTGTCAGAAAACCCACCTTAGATTTAATTCACAAGAAGACTAAGTTCATGAACACAGATCTTGATCGTTATTCAGTCCATAGCCTAACTGGCTAACTACCTTTGGCATTAGCCAGAACTAAAGTCAGAAATCACATTACAGCTACAAAAAGGAACATATGAAACTAGCTACAGAAGACCAGAAATGAACACCAAAGCCATGCTGTTAAGACTTATTCCTCTTGTACTGAACTTTCCCTCCCCCACCGTACCACACTTCCAAATACCTTTAGGTCACCAGCCTCAGGTTTTTCAGTCTCTGAATCGTCATCTTCCTACAAGACAAGAATTTACAGGATTAAGCTTAAAGAGCAGGCTTGGCAAGTAACTGCACTTACAGCAAAGGGCTTGTGTTTGGCAGCCCAGCAGTAGTCCAAGACCCTTTGAATGGAAGTTAGTTTTGCCCCACCCACTCAGGACCAGAAAACAAGCCCTACAGTCACAAAAAGAAGTGGAGTTGCATGGTTTTTTGTTTTGTTTCCCTTTTAAGGCAAAAGCATCACTCAGTAGAAGACACCCTCTGCAAAACTCATGCAGCTCCCGAGTGTGCAGAGCTAGACCATAAGCAGCAACAAAACTGCAGAAAAAAAGCATTCATCATCTGATAATTCTTTTCCCAGTTGGTGGGCAGGGGCTTTGCACTTGCTCCTGTTTAGCAGTACTCGCAGAAAGCAGCGTTTGCAAGGCCTAGTACTCTCCCAAGCACACATCAGCAACACAAACAGGACACACGGTGTGCCTGCCATACAACCAAGCATGCAGGCTTGGTGAGGGGCTGCCCTAGCACCAAGTTCAAAGTCCCAGCGATGCCAGGTGACACCGCATCTTTCCTTACTTGTGTGGTGCTCTCGCTGCCTCACTTGCAGGTGACATAAACCTCCACAGAAGGGAACTAACTTCAGTTTTCTAACTAACTTTAGTTTTAGGTAACAGCCCGCATTTAGTTTTCATTTCTACCCAGGAACAAAGAAAAAAAGGGCAAGTTTTTCCCGAGAGCTTAAATTACTGAACTCAGCCTTAAGAAAAATTTTGTACCATGTGAAAAGTAACCTACAGCTTTGTTCCAAAACTGGTAGGTAAACCTACTGTTCCACTGCCCCACGAGCTACTTGATTGGGGATCCTAGAGTTAGGTATGCTTCTCGACACACATACATATTCTGGGTTCAAAACAAGTTTGAGGAGCAGAAAAGAAAAAGCTTTTCTTGCTCTCACAACTCAGCAGAATGGGTTTGCCTCCAAACTCCACCACCCAGTTTCAACTTTGGCCCCAAAACAAGAACTTGGTGTTTCAGCTTCCAAAAGAAAAATGAAAAAAAAAAAGAAGTGAGGTGATTACATGCAACTGAAAGGAAGGGCTTCCAATGAAGTGCCCACCTCTGGGTATCAGCACACAAACAGGTTCTGGCAAGGCAAGCTATAGAATGATCACACAATGTCAGTAAGTTTTAATTGCCTGAATTAACATGCATATCCCATGGAAGTGACACACCAAACCTCTTCACTTCAGCTACTTTCCAGTGTACCTTCCTAAAACACGCACGTGTGCCCATAATTCAGTCTTAACAGGCAAAGTTTAATAACAGTAAGCGTACAGCTAAAGGAACAACCACAGTACCAGATTACTTGGTACTTGATCAGATGTTTTCCTCCCACCCATGCTCCCACTCATAGTAAAAAGCAATTTTCAATGAAAGAACAACAGATTGAATCATTCATGATATAGACACTTAACGGAAACAGCCCCCAAAACTTTCTAACCTACTAGAGGACATCTCTGAAACAACAGCAATGACAACAAAAAATCATTACTGAAACTGCCCTTGAAAAAAGGGACTTTTTAGTCACAGTTAATGTAGACAATATAAGCACAGAGCTGTTTGGATAAGAACCCAGGCCAGCCTGAAAACAATTGGCACCGCTTTGCAAAAACAGCTCATAACCAAGAAGTACCAGCGCTAGGATCTATTAAGGAAGCTCACAATTCTGGTCCAAGAATATAGAAAAAATGCATGTTACTGGCCTGCAATGAGACTAGAGAGAACACACCCTTTGTAACCTGCTGTACAGTAACTGAAAATAAGAGCAAGATCCGCTGGCTAAACACCGGAGTGCCTAAACCAATTATTGGTATTTGTACAGCACCTTGAACCTCCCAGATGTTAGGTGACTGCAACTTACACTGAAAATTGTGTGTGTAGTAAAAGCTACCCCATTTACACAAGTAGCTGTCAACAAACACCTGGATCACAACTACCACCTTCTATAGAAGAAGGATCTTATTGAAAGAGTCCCCAGGCTTTGGATATAAACAGGAGAATGACTAAAGTGATAGTAAAGCTTCATTACTTGGCTTAGCCAGACAGTGACCCTGAATGCTCTTGCTTGCACCTCCTCCAGCTAGCAACAGAACCAAAAAAAAAAAAAAATAGACAAGTTTCTTGTCTGCTACTTGGGGAAGCAAATAGCAGGAGCAGTGAATGTCTTGTATGAGAATGAATGCGGATAAAATAGATTTCATTAAGAAAAAGCTGTAGTACCACTATTTCCTTCCTGTACTAAGTAGCCAAAAAACTTGAGCAGGGCCAACACATCAACATGGAGGTAAGCAAAAGGTTGATGAGAAAGAAGAGAACCTCCCCGCACTTTCACAAGCCTTACTGCTTTGCTCCTCCAGACACGGAAACGTTTATCCTTTTGTGCGTTATAGCTGCACTCCGAAGCAGCGAGCCACGTGCCCTGCCTGACCATGCACTAAGTACCTCGGTATTCAGGTGGAGTTATACACATGCCATGCACCTGTGACAAACAGAAGCCACTCAAGCCTAGACAAAACGCCACTACATCAAGTTAACCAGATGTAGGAAGTTGAGTTAGACATGAAAGAATAATTTAGGACATCGCAGAACTTTGCTCTTTTGGGTTATCCGGCTGCCCATGCACCAGCGCGTTTCTCTGGCAGCATTTCCAGGTGTGCTCACTCTGCGGAAGGAAGAGCAGCATGTCCCCTGCCAGCCTTCCACGGAAGAGTCAGAGAGCATCGACGGGTTAGTAACGAGCACAAGACCTGCACCCAGAGATGCTGGGCGCTGAGGAGAGGGCATTGCCTTGGGGGCAGAGTGGAAGGAAACGCTGGGAAGGTGCTGGAGGCCGCGGGGGGGGCCTGTGGGCGGCGTGGGGCCGGGGGAGCGCTGAGGGGCCGGGGGGTACTTACTGACTGCCTGCTGGCCTCCTCGTCCTCCTCCTCGTAGCCCTCCTCATCGCCGTCCAGCCGCGTGAAGTCGTCCTCGCCGTACCCAACGGACACGAGCCCGCCTTTTTCTCCTGAGAGAGGGGGGCGGAAAGCGAGAAAAAAAGGCAAAATGAAGAGAAAAAACAACAAAAAACAGCCCGTGAGGAAAGCGAGACAGCAACGAGGGACCCCCACACACCCCCATACACCCCCACACACACACCCCGGGCCCCCCCTCAGCCCCACACACACCCCCCGGGGCCCCCCCTCAGCCCCTCAGCTCCCCTCCCGCCCTCACCCGCGGCCCCCTCGCCGCCCGCCGGCCCGGCCTCGCTGTCGGACTCCGGGTCCGAGTCCTCGGCGTACACGGCCAGCGAGGACAGGACGCTGCGCTTCGCCGCCGCCATCTTCCGCCCGGCCCCGCCGCCGCTTCCGGCGCGCGCCTCTGACGTCAAGGGGGGGGGGGGGGGGGCGGCGGGGTCGCCATAGCAACGCCGCCCCCCCCCGAGCGCGGCCGGAACCGAAAATAAAGCGGGGAGCGAGGACGCCTGAAAGCCCTCAGGGGGGTGAGGAGGAGGAGCGGGGGTGCGCTGGGGGGGGGGGGGTTGGGGTTTTTTTGTTTGTTTGTTTTTTTGGGGTGGGATTTGTTTTTTTAATAGGGGGGCGCTGGCCCTTTAAGAGCGGCTTGTGACGTCATCGCGCGGCGCCGCGGGCAGCGCCTGGCGGACCCGGAGCGGGTGGGGAGGGGGGGGGCTCTGAGGGGGGGCTCTGAGGGGGGGCTCTGAGGGGGGGGGGGGCGCGCTTTGAGAGGCGCCTTGGAGCCCCCTCAGCCGGGGGGGGGGCGCGGTTGTCCCGTCAGGAGCGAGCCCCAGAGCCCTGAGGGTGCGGGGCAGCCGCCTTGGGGGGTGTGAGGGGGGGTAAAATAATAATAAAAGCGAGGGGAAAGGGGCTGGGGGCTCGCCTCAGGGGCAGGGAGGGCCGGGGGGGGCTCTCCTGAGGGGCAGCGGGGCGCTCACTGCCGCTTCCTGCCGCCCGCAGCCCCCCCCCCGCCATGAGCAGCAGCAGCGCGGCCCCCTCCGGGCCGGAGGGCAGAGCCCGGCAGGCGCTGAGGAAGGTGTTCGGCTTCCAGGCCTTCAGGACGGCCCTGCAGGAGAGCGCGACCATGGCAGTGGTGAGAGGTGAGCGGGGGTCGCGGCCCTCCGGGGGCAGGCCTGTGGCTGAGCTGCAGGGGAAGGTCGCCGGGCAGGGCTCTGTGCGCTACCTGCCCTCCTTGGCGTGGGTTTTGTAAGGACGTGGTTGCAGCAAACACGGTGTGGGGAATGCTCAGCTGGCGGTGCTGGGAGCAGCACCACAGGCGTCTGCCAGCTGGCTGTGGTCAGATGGGGTTGAAGCTGTTTGCACTCACGCACTTGCAGGATAAACGTTACTGTGGTGGTGTTAGACACAGGTGGTACCAGCAGAAGACCTGGTTCTCTGGTAAGGTTTATATCCATGAATCATGTCGATGTTACCAGAACCACGCATTTTTCCTGGTGTTAACGCATCCACCAGCACAGCGCTGTGGGTTCGGCAGGCAGCTCACACACACACATGGGCTGCTTACCGTCCATTCTCCTCACAGGTCTCATAATGCAGACCAGAACAGCACCAAACCCAGCGTGCAGGACACAGTCACGGTTTTCATTCATCTCCAGCAGCTGTGTTGTTGATAACAGACTGGCCAAAAGCAGTGTTTTGTGAGCAGGGTGGCTCTGCCTGTCAATGCTGTGTGCGTTGGCATCTCCCTGACGTGAAGTGGGTGCTCCTTAGCATAGCAATAGTTACTAAATTATACTGCCTACGTGGTTGGGATTTGCTTCTTGGGATAAGCTTTCACAGGGTGTGATACAGATCTGCCCTGGGACTGGTGGTTTGGTAACTGGAGGGAAAGCAGCTCATGTAGAAGAGAATTAGCATGACCATGGACCAGTTGTCTAACTCCTCTTTATCTTGGTTTCTCTGTAACTTCTGGTATTTAGGTAAGGCTGTTTCATATCGTTTAAAAAGTGGTCAGAGATTATTTGAAGGAAACCACTGCCGGCATACAAAGTATTATGATGCTTTTAGAACCTAAAATGAAGTGTCTTTTGTTGGTATGCCACAAGGTACACGCGCAGATACGCCTTTTCTCGCAGATTACAGGCCTTCGTGCCCACCCCTCCAGGCAGAGCCCTGGGAACTCACCACCACTCAGTAGCCTTGAGCTTTGTTCTGTTGTCTTTGCAGGCGAGAAGGATGTCTTTGTATGCATGCCCACAGGGGCAGGGAAATCCTTGTGCTACCAGCTTCCTGCAGTTCTGGCAGTGGGCATCACCATTGTCATTTCACCTCTGATTGCACTGATTCAGGTAACTGTCTCCTGTCAGCTGTGGAACGCAGTCAGTGAAGGGGGTTGGGAGACTCTGGAGGCAAGGCTGCCTCTTGCCTTTCTGTGCCAAAACTGCTGTTAGCCTGCCTCTGGATTCTTGTCTTCATGTCTTGGTGTGTTTTCCTTAGCCTGGTGATGGGTAAAGAGGCTGCAACTTAGCGTGCCTCTGATGTTATGCAGCTCTGTTAAAGAAGGTTTTTCTTCTTTGATAATAGCCTAGTGGTTTTTATAACTGATCCTTTCTATATTCTCCAGTTGTCTTTTACCTGTGCTGTACATGTGCTGTACAAAAGCAGCAGAGTACCTCAAATGTAGCAAACTGAGTCTTTATCCACAAAAGAACTCCATTTTACCTATAAAATAATAACTCTGGGAATTATGAAGTTGCCTTTGTAGGCATAAATTGCTCTCCATCAAACTGTCTTTTTGTTGTGGTCTTTGTGTCACGGGTAGAAGCTGTTGTAGTAGAGCTCCTCCTTAAACACTTTGATCTGTGTGACCTTTTGCTTATATATTTTGTCTTTTGTACTATTTTCATCACCTCACGCTTCCCTATAATAGCAGCTGTAGCGTTAACGTTGCATGATACCTGGTGGCGTAGGCTGCCGTTTTTGTTTTTCTGCTGTTGTGTTTTTTGCTTTTTGTTTTTTTTTTTTTTTTTGTTCAACTCCTCTGTAGTCTCAGTGTAATACACATCAAGAATTAAAACCAGGCTTGGTGATGCATCTCCAAAAAGTGTTGTAAATAGTGAACTCTTTCCAAATGAGATAATTTCTAATTAAGCTCCAGCACAGGAAATATTCTATCAGTGAAATAGAGGTTAAATGAATTACCAGAGGTAAGATTTGCAGGTGAAGCAGAACTTGTCAGAGCAACAGGTAGATGGAGATGGGCTAAATGAGTTTTAGGGAACAGAGCTGGAGTGAGCCTCCAGAGGTTTTCTCATTCAGCCCTGAGATGGGGAAGCTATGCCTGAAAAGATCGTGATATATTTCATTCTAACCCACCTTCAAGAGCGTAGTTCTCTGTAGTTTATAGGGAAGGTTGAGAGTTGACTGTGAGCAGAAACAGTGCTTATTAAATCAGTCACTGAAACACTTACTGAGTGAAATGATGAGACATCCGTCTTTCAGGACTATTCATACCTTCTGAAATGTTATGTGCTGGTCAACTGCAAGCGAACAGCTCAGTGTAGGTAGGTGGGTTGTGTGTCTGCTGTTTGTCTGGATGTATCTGAATGTGATGCTGTGTTTTCTTCCTGGTTTTCAAGGCATGATTCTTGTTCACGCTCAGTTCTATTGCGGAGGTGATTTGCCATATCTCATAATATCTCAGCAGTGTTTGGAAAGTTGTTTGGTTATTTTGGAATGAAGCATGCTCTGTTTTTGTAGGGTGGCATTACTCATTTTCCATCTGTGACAACTTGATAGTGTAAGTCCTGAGACACGCTGGTGGCTTGTTTCAGCTCAGTGTGGCTATCATCAGGTATTTAGCACAGATCGTGCTGATGTGCCGTAGCAGCAAAATGATTATCTTAAAGTGAATGGAAGCCAAAAGAAAAGGAGTTGGATGTTAAAGCTGAACAGATGCACTCACCATTGAAATAAATAGGGTTGAAGTTCTAAACAGCTGGACTCTAGGTGAATGTTGTCCTGAGACTAGAACCTGGAGGTGGAAGCTGGGGCCTCATGTAGATCTCTTCAGTAGACATTCATAGTGCTGGTGGCTTTCTTTAATGCCATTTGTTTCTCATTTAATTTTCATTTTGTATTTACCTTAGGACCAAGTGGATCACCTGCTGGCTCTGAAGATCAAAGCCTGCTCTTTCAACTCCAAGCTTTCAGCCCAGGAAAAGAAGGCCATCCTGGCTGACCTAGCGAGTGAGAAGCCCCAAGTAAAGCTCCTGTACATCACCCCGGAGATGGCAGCGTCCTCTTCCTTCCAGCCTACGCTGAACTCCCTGCTGTCTCGAAATCTCCTGTCCTACCTGGTAATCGATGAAGCGCATTGTGTCTCCCAGTGGGGCCACGATTTTCGACCTGACTACCTGCGGCTGGGCACCTTGCGCACTCGCATACCCAATACGCCGTGCGTTGCCTTGACTGCCACCGCCACCAAGCAGGTCCAGGAGGACATTGTGATGGCACTGAAGCTAAAGCAGCCGCTTGCCACCTTTAAGACTCCGTGCTTCAGATCTAACTTGTTCTATGATGTGCAGTTCAAAGAGCTCTTGACTGATCCATATGCCAACTTGAAGGATTTCTGTCTGAAGGCACTTGAAGTGAAGAATACAACTGGGGTAGGTTTTTCAGTGGGGGAAGAAGGCTAAACTGAAAAAAATCTTCCTTAATGGTCACCGATCTTCCGGTGGTTGGTATGGCCCTGACAGGGCTGTGGTGGCAAAGGAGGAGGTCCGTGAAGGAAAGCGCTCAATAGTTTTTCAGTTCCTCTAAAATAATTAGAATATCGAGTTGCATTTCTTTCAAACAGAGGTGTCGTCCAAAAAGAGCTGGTCTAAAAGAAAATGTATTAGGAATATGCAAATAGCATTTCTGGCTTGGCTTGTCGTGTCCCTGGCGATAAGTGTGTGTTTGATTGGGTTCTGCTCTTTCACTGTGGTGAGGGTGAAATGTAACAAGGGTGAGCAGCAGCACTTAGTGTCATATTGAATTGCTTGCGGTAACACTAATATCCAGGATAACTCCAGCAACTCAATCACCCTCCGCACCTCAATTTCTCTGTAATGTGAAGAGAGACTTCTTGCCTGGTGTTCACTGGGAAAAGACTGGGAGACCATATTCAGTCTGTCTCCTAGGCCTTGTAGGAAACTCTCTTTGTCTGATTTACTTTTGTGCCATGACAATGTCTTCAAGTTGCTGGGGAATCAGCTTGGAGATGAGGTGAGCCTTGGGCATCCCTCCATTTCGTCCACACTAAGGACTGCAGCTCAGCTGATGGGCATCAGGCGGTGTCATGGACTTTCTCTCCTCTCTGCCCAGGTGTATTCGGGTTGTGGCATTGTGTACTGCAGGATGAGGGACGTGTGTGACCAGCTGGCCATTGAATTGAGCTACCGAGGAGTGAAAGCCAAGGCGTATCACGCAGGTACTGGAGCTGCTTTGGCATCTCTCAGGAGCTGGTAGAACTGAACTGTACCACCTTTAAGGCTTGGGTTGGGGTTACCTAGCAAGCAGCTTTCTAGGCATGGTCTGCAATCTGTCTAATGCTCATACATCAGGTCTTTGAGGTAAATACGGGTCACTCAGCAGAATGGCATTCCCCTTGCTCCAGAACTGTTCATTTTGTTGGATCTTGCATGGCCTAAATATAACAACTGGTTTCTTCACAAGAGTGTTTTAAATTTTTCGTTTTGGAATAGAAACAGCTGCTGCTGACTTCTGCTTGATCCCAGGCCAATTTAAACATGGACAGAGAGGAGTGTGTATGTCGGTCTGTTCTTACCAAGGGGCTTGGCTCGTAATGGGAGAATGGAGAAGGAATAAAATACTTCTACTTGCTGTTTTGTTTTGTTTCCTTCCACCTTTTTCCATTCCCAGGACTCAAAGCAGCTGACAGGACTTCAATCCAGAATGAATGGATGGAGGAGAAGATCCCAGTTATTGTTGCTACCATCAGTTTTGGAATGGGAGTAGACAAAGCAAATGTCAGGTATGTGAGGCTGAGAGTTGTGCTCCAGCAGAGACTGAAATCTGAGCGGCAGGAAGGGAAAGCCTCAGTCTCTCTCTTATCTGATACATCTGTCTCAAACACCTGATCAACACCCACTGAAACCCACAAAAATACAACCGGAGGTTTTCCTAGAAGCAGAAAAAACAACCTTGGAAGGGTTTTGTAATTAAATTAAAAAGAAGGCACCAGAGTATCTCTTTACCATTCATCCTCAAACCAAAGAAAATTGGAGGAATGTTTGTTTTTTTTTTGCCACGCTCTCCAGGGCTTTAAAAAGAACCATCTAGATGCAGTCACAGCTGTCTCTTTCACTTCTCTTAGTGCAATAACTGCTGTCGAAAAGCAGTGGGAAGGAAATTTGTAACTAAAATAATTCATACACTACTAAAATAGTCAGAGTCAGCTTTTGGTGAGATCTTTTGCAAACTGCAATGGGGGGTGGCAGTTCACAAATGGCAATAACCATTTGAAAAACACAACTCTAGTTCAAGGACAGAAATTTTTACATGTTTTCAATTGTGGTTCCTCTGGGACTTCTAATTGCCACCATAATTGCTCTGTGTTATTAGAATTCCTGCACAGCAATATGGCTGGGCTGAGTTAGCGTTGTGAGCTGTGATCATTTAATAGAGGAAGAGCTCATCTGCAGCTCACGCAACACCCTAAATGGAGCTGATCCTCACTCAAAATCCAAATAAAACAATTGCTGTGACCATTGTAGGAGAGGTGCAGGACATCACTGAGTTGATCACATCAGTTTACAACTGTGCCACCCTTCTGTGTGTACTGTGTGCTGACAGACAACGGGATCTTATAGCAGTGATAGACTGTTTTACTGCTCGATGCTTGTTACCCAGTAGAGAAATGAGAAGTCTCCTAGGAGAGCGGCATAAATTAATGATATGCTGAAATTTAGTCTCTGTCCTGTTCGATGCATTAAACCAGCAAAGAGTAACTGAAATGCATAGGGCTGATGAAGAATAAAATATAGCTGAACCATGCTTTGTAATAAGGTTAGTTTCCAAGAAATTAAGTTAAAAAGACTTCTTACAAGTTGTTTTTCAATAGTTTAAGGAATATGATACCCTAGGCCAGGTAACAATGCCCTGCTGCTTAGCCTTCACTCTTTGTTGGCAGAGTCCTGAGTATTCATGCATATGTTATTGGGTGAGATCAGGTCTGACAAGTTCTGGAGGTGACCCTTTGGGACAAAAGGGAAAACAGATGTTGTTTCTGTCTCTGATGGAGTCAGCTCCTCTGTTTTTTCACTGCTAATTCAGTTTTAGTTGAGATTATTAATTCTTTCAGTAAATTTCCCAACAGAGATTGAATATGTAGGGTTCTGATTCCTTGTGTCTGGCCTGGTCTTAAGGTGTTTGTGTTTATAGAAACATGTTCACTTGTTTTCGTCTTTTAATCTTTTGCCACACCTGCACACGTCATGCCTGCCTCTGGGACATAGTGGTTTGCAGAGCTTTAAAAGGACCAGTTTTGAGGCAGACTGGTATTTAAAATATTGGCAGCATTACTGTACTGTAAAGTGCAGAGACTCCTCAACACAGGTATGAGCCGAATTGCTGAATATTCAAGTACAAGCAGGTTTAAAGCACTCTTGTAGTGGTGCATTGAAAACATTCCTCCAGAGATTACGTACGGTTTAGTAATGATTCATAGTCATATTCTCTAACTGGGAAAGGTGCCCTCATCTACAAGTGATTTTGGTGAGACGGAATTTCCCACGCAGACTTTGTTGGCAAAGAAATGTCTTTTTGTAATCAAGTATTTCTGATTATTTTCCATAATGTTCAAATTGCGTTTCACAAAATAAACAGGACTTTTTTTTAATGCTCTGTTTTATCATAAAATAGTCCAGATTGTGTCCTCGTTCATAGCTGTGTGACTGTATACCTGTTTGGGATATTCATGTGCCCTTTTTCTTCCATCCATCTTGAGTGACATCCTGCTTTTACTGCCTTAGTTTTTACTCTAATGTTGATACCATGAACAACACAATCATGTATGCACTGAGTTGAGAAACCTACAGCCTTATGTTTCCCATTGTCATATCACACGCAGGTTTGTTGCTCACTGGAACATTGCCAAGTCAATGGCTGGATATTACCAAGAATCTGGCAGAGCTGGGAGAGATGGGAAGCCATCCTGCTGCCGCCTTTATTACTCTAGGAACGATCGGGATCAAGTCAGCTTCCTGATTAAGAAGGAGCTCTCTAATATCCAGGTAAGATATGCAGAATAGTATCTGTGTGTCTAGTTGTGCTACCTTTCTGCTCAGATTTTGTTTGCCTCTTGCCTGCAGTGACCTCTGAATATGCAAAGATCAAATGAGTTTTTCTAGAGCTGTAGTAGTTTTTGGGTCTAGAGTTGTCTGTAGTCCTGTCCCAAGGGAGAGCAGAGGAGGTTGAAGCAGGGAGGGAAAGGGCTGCCAGAACTAGCTCTAGCCTTATTAGAGAGGCAAGGGTGAGCAAAAGCATGGAGCAGAAAAAGGATGGTGTCTGTACCAGTTAATCACATTGTTCAGGAGAGTTGGATGTGGTTATCAGTAGAGTTAATTCATCTGTTTGTATTTAAATTGAAGACTATAATTCTTGTCCTGTCTACTTTCAGGAAAAAAAAGGCACCTTAAAAGAATCTGACAAAGCTGTGATGACAGCTTTTGATGCCATTGTGAACTTCTGCGAGGAGCTGGGGTGAGTGCACTTCTTTCAAATGTTGTTTAATGTTGGGGAAACCGTATCCTATCCCTTCTGAGGCACAGTTATGGCTGAGATCTTTCCGCAAATGCATGTTATGGAAAAAGAAAATACTGAATGAATCGCCTGATATTTTGCTGTCTGGAATGAGGAAGGTGTCCCTGAGATGCCTGTCACTCACTTTCACTTCTGAGTTAATTGAGATGTTGAACTGTGATTCCTCTTGCTGTGAAACTTAATGTGTTTTATCTGTGGAGAACGGACTTCGTTTCAGTTGCTTTTGTTTTGACTCTTTCCTCCTTCACCCACCATCTCTCTGGGCAGCCTAATCATCGCAGAATGGAACTATTTAACTTTAATGTTTCTCTAAATCTCAGGGGCTCCAGTCTGCAAAGAAGTAGGCATCCTTGATTCTCATTGACCTTAGAAGGATCTTATGTGCTTGGAACCTTTCAGAAAATAAGCCCAAATTATGGATGTGCCCAATCTAAATGCAGACTAGCAACCACAACACACATCGTTCAGGTCTAGTTCATGACTTGTAAGCTGTCATTGTACTAATTACTATGCTGCATGAGACATCAAAGTTGTAATTTTGCCAGTAAGAGAGCAGTATGCATTCACTAACCGAAAGTAGTCAACATGTGTCTTGCTTTTAAGTTTGTATTTTGTTTCGTTCTTCACACCTGTGTCTAGGACAAGTTTTTCAGGGTGACTGGCATGCTTTTCTGATACTTCACTGAGCTTATTTTCTCCTTGTGGTCCCGTTTGGTAAACAAATTGTGTTTTTTATGGATCTGCCTTGGGAGATCCCTGTATATACTGAAGGAAGGCACAACGCTGAGTGGTCCCAGGGCACGTGAACGAGCACTACTTTGCCCAAAGCTAGGATGATTCTGGGAAGTAGCTTCTTGCTTTAAGTCGGATGGCTGCTTGTGTCCAGATTTTATATCATGTGAGAGCAGGTGGATCTATCTGGTTAGAGTCTAACCTCAGGAGACCTTGTCTCAGTCTGTGTTTCTCCTTGATTCTCCTACAGTTGGTCGCAGAATTAGTTCAGACAGTGGCTTCTTGAAAGGGCCACCAATGCCATGACAACTGTACTGGACTCGCTGAACTAACCTTGCACAAGCCAAAAGCAGTCACAGAACATTCCAGGGTGGTTTCCTAGTCAGGGCATGAGGTAGGATCCATATCACCCAGTTACAGCGTCACCCCCTTCACGTATGCTGTAAAGAACTTGACTGCTATTTAAGTGAGGAACTTCTCTTAACAGTTCTGCTGCAGTAGTGAGGCAATACAGAAGCACTAGAGAGAAAACACTCTCCTTTGCTTAGGTGAATAGCAATATAAATAGAACTTTACTGGCTACATAAGAGATTTCTGTAAGGGAAGCTCGCTGACCTAATTAGAAATCATATCTCCCATCTGTTTTCTTCCCTTCCCCAGCTTAATACATACACATATAAGATATGCAACCCAAGGTCACACATTGCAGCACCATTGACCGGCTTCCCTGCTTGTAACTGTGCAGGAGATTAAGGTGCTCTTCAGGAGAATACTACACATTGCATTTCTTTTTTGCATTTTGAATTAATACAGTTCTTTTCACTATTCAAACAGTAAAAATGAACCTGAAATTCTGACCTTACAAGGTTCTAAATGAGAACAAATACAGACAGACTTGTATTCTGATAAGCAAGTTTTTGCATAGTATATTTAGGCTACTGTCTGAGTATGACAGGAGAACAATTACATAAGCTGCTTTTTAGAGAATGGGTTCAGACAAAGCTTTTGCTGGTCAGAGTTTCCTGATGTCCCTTTTCAAGATGGAAAAAAAACACAACTAGCCAAATAAAAAAAGTAACTGCAGTGGTAGAAGACATCTTTATCAGTTTTAGGTGGTGGTTGACCATTTGCCAACTCTATCCTGTCTGTGGTTTTGTTTGAGAGATGAAAATCAGGCAGAGACATGACTAGCCAAATATCAGCATCATCATTCAGTTCCTGAACACAGACTGCCTTATGTACAGAGTTTGCTGTGGACTTGCAGAACAACTTGCTGGCATTCATATATTGCCCTCGATGCAGGAAAGCTGGATGGGGAGAAATAACCACCCAGGGACAGAAGATGAAAAAGCTTCCACGAACAACACAATTAGATTGCAGTTGGGCTGATTCTTGCTTAACTGCAGATCTCCCAGTACTGTGTCACAGCTTTGCTGTTTATGCACCACTCCGCTTGTGCCTTGGAGATGAGCAGCACCCAAAGATGGCAGCAAATATGAGGAGAGCAATAAAAACAAGACAGAAGGTGCTAATCACCACTAGCCCTCCAAGAGCCCAGTCACTTGTTAAAATCAGTCTTTTTAGGTCTTCCAGAACTGAGGATGTCCCTTGTGCAGATGACATGCTGGCTTCTGCCCTGCTGGAGTTAGACAAGAATAATGTCAGATGTTGATGTATCCCCTCTGTGCTCTGACAGAGCAGTAGGAGACAGGCACTAAACCAGTACAGGCACACATGCTCTGTGCTGGCAGGTGTCCCTCTTCCAAAAGGTAGAGTCAGTCTTCGCAGGATCTGGAGTATAAACCAGGAGATAGATAACTGAGGCAGCTTTAGAGTCAGATCTACAGAGAAGTAGAGAGGAAATCTGCCTTTGCAAGATTTTAGCAGGTGAGATTTATTTTAATCATAGCTTATCAATATTTTTAATAATTGAGTATCTCTCCCAGCATGTTCTATATGAACCCTTCATCTGTCAACTGTACAGCCTAGACATGAAGGGTGAGTATTCAGTAGGAGAACTTGGTTGATTCCAACAGGAAGCAATTCCTCTAAAAATGAGAGTTGGGTACTTAGGCTGTGAGAACACAGTGGAGATTAAATAAACACTCATTTAAAAACAAGCAAACCAAGCACACACCAACAGCAAGCACAGAACTTAACGTAGAATTTGTCACTCCCATAGAGCTTAGAACAACCGAGCTTCTTGCATGAGAAGTGCCTCCTTTTAACAAAGTTGGTTTCAATGCTGAGCCACACATTCTGGGTTACTCTACAATAGAGGTATGCTTTCCTCCTGGGAATGACTTAGGTTCAGCAATAATTTAAAGTGGGATCTCAGTGGGTTCTACATACTTGCTCTTTCTCTGATACTTTGCATAATGACTTGGCTATCGGCTGTCTTTAAAAAGAAAAAAACAACATTTATTTGAGAACAGCTTGTGGTTTGAGAGCATCTAAAGCTTCCTTGCTAGATGCTGCTCAAGGGAAAGAAGGAATGGATTACTTCTCACACTTTCTCTCAAATATGACTGTATGAATGCAGGAGGAGATCTTAATTATTTCAGAATATTTGCCTGAGTTGTCAACCCTTATGTCTGCATCCCAAATACTGTATGAAGACCATGTAAAGTACATTTCATCCTCAGCGAGTCACCTTGGATTACAAGCACAAACTCATACTTTCATTTCCTGAAGCTTTTGTTTCTTTCTCAGTAGAAAATAACACTGAAGTTTATGCTTTGCTTTTGTGGAATTAGGACAGATCACCAAAGGTATACAGGACACGGAAGCTGTTCTGGATTGCTTCCTTCTCTTTTAAAAAGGAGACAGACTGGATACCAGCTCTGCAGACCTGAGGCAGAAACCCTGTACAGCTGCACACCCTAAAAAGCACCCATCCCTTTTGCTAACCATGGTTAGTCCCCTGAGGTAGGAGAGTTATATGCAATTTCATAAATACCTGAAGCTGTAGTGTTTGCAGTAGGTGTTCCTTCTGGTACCTCCTCTGCACCTACTTGAAGGGATCTCAGCCTGTAGTGAAGGACCCCCTACTACACCTGCAGTCTTGTAGACCTATCCTGGAAGTTGCCTGTTTGTACTGCAGTGAATGATTAACAGCTGACTTTCTTGCAAAGGTGTGGCTAATCTAATCAAAGGCCTTGAGCCTAGTTAAAAAGACCCTGTTCACATGTCACTTGGGTGTTTCTTCCTCTCCATGCCTTTATCCACTTGTGTACTTATTCCAGTGCTTGTAGCAGCCTGCTGTGCCCTCTGTCTGGAGAAGGCAGCAGGTCGTGGTGGAGAGAAGAGGGCTGTGTTGCCTGGGTATTGGCTGGCTTGGTATTGTAAGCTCAGTTAGGAGACTGCCATTTGTAAAATGGGGCTGTGAAGAAGAGTGCCCTGCAGTCCAAACTTCATCATGACAGCTCAGGTGGATGAACTCATTACAGAGCCTCACAGTGCTGTTAGCTGCAATAAAATAGATTCCCTGTTGCCTTCTCAACTAAGGAAGACCAGAGGGAAGAGAGATGGGAGGGAAAGAGCAGAGCGTGATACGTGCGAATGGGTGGAAGGAAACTTGTTTTTCACAAGCCAAGCACATCACTTTGAAACAGGGATAATGTTACAGAATAAAAGCTATTCCATTAAGTGGTCAGTAAAGCTTCAGATGCTTCTGCTGGAGCGGCTGGTCTCACAGTCTGCTCTGGGTTTCTTAGGGAAAGCTTTTTCAACAATTGTGTCATCAAGACTGAAGTAGTTTTATCCCCTTGTAGATCCTTCTAGGCTCACTGAAGGTTTTAAAATGTGTACAGAAGTTACTGGTTTTGAAACAGTTTTCAGTTTTTCTGTGGTCTGTGTTCCTCTGTGAGTTTTGAAACAGAGGATCCATCCTCACCTGAGCTCAGGGCATGCCAGGTCCCTGTAAGTAAGTAACAGGTGAAACAAAAAAAACTACAAAGATTTGTAGGAACGAACTAGGAAGACTTGTGTGAGTGGTGTACAGGCACTTTTCTAGTCAACAGAAAATTCAGTAAACTGTTTTTTTTTTGTGAGTATTTCAAGCCAACCTGATCTCTTGCATACAAGGCAGTGGCAGAACCCACCCAGCCCAGGCAAACACATACCTAAACACCAAGTATATGAACAGTCCAACGGAATACAACGGTACGAAACGTTAAGCAGAACATTAGGCCTGTGAGGTGCGGGCAAGTTTGCAGAAATTGGCCAGGGATCCACTTTTCTCCTTGGTGGCTGCTCCTCTGCTCCAGAAAGCCACCTGCATTCTTAATAAAATTGCTTAATTTTCTCTCCTTTTCTCTCTTCTTTTTTTTTTTTTTTTCCCTTTCCTTTTAACAGCACTGCATTTATTCTCTGCCTTAATTCAGGAACTTATAGTGGCAGAGATAAGGCAGGAGCCATTTCCCCTGTCCCCCTGCCTGGTGTCTGTCAGTGGTTTAACTTGTAACACCACTGGGGAAACTCATGTTTGTGGCTTTTTGTGTTGAGATAACGCTTGGCAGCTTGTTCCTAGTGACAGCAACCTGTCAGTTGTTGGTACGTTTCCAGCCCACTGAGCTTCCTCCTGACTGTTAGCACAGACTGGTTCCATGCTGCTGAAGCATTTCTCAATGGGATTCTGTTAATTCCTGTAGCTGGCACTGTCTAGCACAGGCTAGGAAAGAAAGTAAGCTCTGTTCTTTCACAGGTCTCGTGATTTAACTTAGAAATGTCTGTCTCCTGCAAAAGAGAGGGTCTGAGGCTTCCTGCGTCACCTTGACAGTCACTTGTTTGTAAGTGAAATGAGCAAAGATGTATCTGACAGAGAGGTTAGTGTGATGCACTTCTGAACGTCGATTACAGTAAATGGATGCCATGTTTGAGCTTATCCTACCCTAGCATATTTCCTGGAAGTGAAATTTTGGGGACAGCATAATAAAGGCCAGCACTTTGTTAGTCTTACTGTAGCTGTGCATGCAGCAGCTCATACTGGTGCGCTCCTCATTTTCTTAGTAGTTGCCAAGCTGGAGCTCAAATACTTTCTAAGGAATGTCTCCATCTTCTGCTGCAAATGTTTTCTTTTTTCTTGGTGTAAAAGTGACATTAGTGATTTGAGGATTTTTTTTGTTAATTTTTAGGCTGTTCTCTGTGTTGCTGCCTGCAAATTTATTTCAATGTGCAACTGTACAAAAAAATGCAAAATACCTAAACTTAGTTTATTTAAAAAAAAATAAAGTGCATTAAATACATGAGGAGTTAATGATGCATTCTGCTAAAATGGGTGCAGGCATCAGCAAAGAGGTTTCTTTACAAAGTTTCCATTTTGTTGTCCCTTCCGAAGTGTGAAGAAGCCCACTGTTAAAAACTTGATTCTTTTCTCTCTTGCTGGATGTTGGCTCTGGCATATGTGTGTGATCCCAGAATATCCCGAATTGGAAGGGACACACAAGGATCATCGAGTCCAACTCCTGGGTCTGCAGAGGACCACCCAAAAATCAGACCATGTGTCTGAGAGCATTGCCCAATGCTTCTTGAACTCTGTCAGGCTCAGTGCTGTGACTGCTTCCCTGGGGAGCCTGTCCCAGTGCCCAAATCCCTTTGACTCATCTACATGTAGCAGTTGGAATACAAGGGTAGAAGATGACATCTATAAGCATGGAACTTTTTATACCTTCTAGTAAAGGTGATTGTTGTTACATTTGGGGCTGAAAGAAAGCCCAGTGGCTTGCAGAGCTAGGTGCAGCAAGCTGGTCTGTTTGTCTGTCCCAGTTAGGAAAGTCATGGTCTGCACCATAGCCTTGTACTTACAGGAATCCCTTATTGAAGTTCACCTCAGTGTAAACCAAACATACACAGCGGCTGCAGCACAGAGAAAGGATTTATTTTCACTTGTTAACATCAGCTGTACAGGCCATTCTCGGCTGTGCTTTGTTGCAATGCCAGCTGTCAGCTGCTGCATGTATACCCTGAAGTGACGGTTACCATACTGTATGTCACTCCTCTGAAATGCCTTTGAGTATGCTAATAAACATACCTTAGGCATTCTGCTTATGTCCACTAAAATAAACTGCACACAGTGCAGGGAGTCAGGCACACAGGTCCCTCGAGTGAGGACGGGGATTTGTTCGTCTCCTGTAACTCCCATGCTCTGTAAGGACCATTCGCCTGCAATATGCAGAATTCATGAAAGGTCTGACTACCACATGGGGGCTGGGAGGGAGCACATTTACCAGCACAATGTTCAAATTAAACTGTAACATCAGTGATTCTTTCTCTTTTGCCTTCATCTTTCTGTTTACAAAGGGTATTGCACACGATCTGACTTTTCTCTTTGGCAATTTCACATCATCGTAACACCAATGAAATAAAGGAGCGAACATTTGTCACCAGCTGTACGCAGAGCCTCAGGTGGTACATGTAGATCAGAAGGTCCATGATTTGTTGTTTTCAGCAGTCGTCTCAGCTAAATGTGTCTATTGCACTTGGCTTTAGAGAGAGCAGGTTTGGGCCTGATCCAAGATGTACTAAGCATGTCGACCTTCCAGCAATGTCAGAGGGTTTTTCTGGCCCCCAACATCATCCTTTTGGATTAGCCACTTGTGAAGAGAGAAGGTGCTGCCTAGCCATGTGGCAGCTTACACGTTCTCTGCTTTGGTCTGTGGCTCAGTGCTCACAGAAGGAATCCTTGGCCAGCCCAGCTGCAGGGCTGTTACTGGGTAAGTGTGTCTATTTTGTCAGCAGCGTGTGTCCATGCACCCCCAGCCCACCCTGAAGAGGAAGACAGTGATGGTAAAGCAGCATTACCTTTCTGGTCACACCACGGAGCCCAGCAGTAGCCATCACAGAAAGAATGAATTCCATGCTGTGATTTCTGGTCCTCTGAGTCATACTCATTAATATTGTTATTGCCATTTTCAGTGAGCTAGAGCAGAGTCATTCCCGTGGGTCTGAATCATGATGGCCACGCATGTCCTTGATAGTAGGTTGTCACCTCTTGATGCGCTTCATGGATGGGCGCTCGGGCGGACCTGGATCTTCCTACGTCTGTGGTCAGGACGTCCATCGCAGCTACAGCAGCTGTAGCAGCAGCAGCTGCAAGCAATGATCATGAGCAGCAAAACAGTAACTGAAAAGAGAAGAAAGGGATATTGCTTCATGACACAGGAGGAGTCACTGGAGACTAACCCTACGTCTCCTGTAAGTTGTCTGATGATTGGCAGAATGAACAGTCAGGTTTCTTGATTTTTGTCCTATATCCCCATCTCCCACCTTTTAAGTTCCTGCTTTCTTGTATTAGTTATCCCTTTAATCTGGACAAGTGTCATTGAACGTCAGGCCTTAGTAGGAGCTGAAGGTGTGCTGGGTGGCTTCTCAATAACTGTGCCGATTGCCCAGCTGACAGTTCATAATGGTTTAGGAACTAGGTATACTGGTTTCCCTGTATGATGAGCACTGAGCTAGGACTTTGCCCAATACCCATCTGTCTCCTCCCATGGATACTTGGTAGAGATAAAAAGATAAGAGGTTCCTGTTCCTTTGTCAGACTTGGCCAAGATCAGTCAGCAGGTCCAAAGATTCAGGCCAGGCAGATAGGGCAGGCCCAGCGAAGAAAGGTTTGAAGAGTTAATTTCAGGTTTGTTTCCAGAGGTAAGTAAATGAAAGCAATGGAAGAGAGAAATTCCTCTGCAACGATAAAGAGCAAATGAGAATGAACGGTGCCTTTACTCTGGGCAAGGGAGGAAGGATCCTAGTTGCGTGTATTTTTCAGTAGGCAAGACAGTAACCAAAAACTATCCCTCACCTTCAGACTGAAAGATTGCTTTTCAGACTGTGGCCCCAGAGTTCATCTGCTGCATGCACAAAATTCCTAAAAATTGTCACTCCTGAGTATTCTGTGATCGTAACAGCCACGTACCAAGCTATGTGGGGGTGGCACAGCTTTACCTGCCTTCCTGGCTGTTGTTTGAGAGATGGCATACAACTAAGTGGGGCTGTGCGCCTGGAAAGGATGGAGATCAAACTTTCCCCATAGTTGTCAAAAGCAACTAGAGAGGGTTTGGCTGGTCCAACTGGCAGTTCCGTTTCTGAAGAGTTCCTGATGTGAGCCCTTTAAGGAGAACAGGTATTCATGACTGGGTTGGTTTTATGCTTTCTTCTGTAGTCAGCTTGAGAAAATAGATACTTCAAAAAGAGGGGTTTGTTTTGCAAAGCAGTGGGCTAGCCTGTTGTTATTCTACACTAGGCGTAGTGGTCAGGGTAGGGTGGGACGGGTTAGTTTATCTGGAAAAGGATGACATGTTTAATCCTGCAAAACTCGTAAGGAGCATGCGCACACATGTGTGCACGTGTTCTTTAAAGGTCTGGAGATGGGCTGCCAGGTAATCTGACCTGTGGGGAACCAGCTGTCACTATGAGAAGGGAAAAAAAAAAAAAGGAAGCAGGTTTGTCTGTTTCTGAATTCCAGCCCAGGGAGGAGTGTCCAGGCTGCAAACACACCCTTCCTTCCAGCGCTGGGAGAGAGCAGTACCTCTGAGGGGGCAGGCCTGTCTTCCTTCCTGGTTGTTTTCCCATTGTTTAAACAAACATCATCCCCCACGATCAAGCAGCTCTTTTTTATTCCTTCCGTGCCATCCCCACACAGGGCGGCAAAAGGGATCTTACCATTGTCAGGGAATAAAGAGGCTCAGCTGAAGCATCCTGGCACCCGCTGAATTAAGCACAGGAGAGATACTCAGCATCTCAGAGCTGAGTGTTTTTCATGGCAGTAAGCTCTCCCAATACCCTTTGTTATAAACAAATATATCTGCTGTGCATCAAAACACTGCAGCAACTCTCGGTTAGGTAAGATACTGCTGTTTAAATTAATGCTAAACTAGGGGAGCGTTGGGAAAAGTTATGCTATTGCCTCTGATGCTCTGCGTGTGTGTGAAGATACACACTGAATACTAAAAAATGACCTAGAAATTAAAAGGGGCCTCAGAGCACAGCCTGGAAAACAACTGCCAACACCACCGACCTGTCAACAAAGATCTCAGAGCAAGCTGCCCCTGTAGAAGAGAAGAGACGTCTGACACCCCTCTACTTCCACCGATAAACTCACCGATAAACAGAAGAACCACACAGAAGGACACGATCTCCACAGGGTCAGCCTTGGGCAGTTTCTGAAGCTTAAGGAGAAACTTCTCACCAATGGTTTGCATTTCCTTCAGAAAGCCTTCAGAAGACATTCTGGCTCAACCTCTCCAGGCTTTACGCTGTAGAAAAACCAAATAAATCTTTTCACTGACTAATGCTAGGAAGCTGCCAGCCTTCTTATAGACCCGGTGATCACAAGTAAAACGAGTTTATCTGGTCTCAGCCCTCGTTCCCAGTAGCTAAGGTGGAGGACTATTAACTGTCTGTTCGTTCTGGCACTGTTTTCATTACAAAATCTGGCTTTGAGGTTGTTTTTGACAGTTAGGCTGTTATGCAAAGGTGAAACTGTTTTTTCTAAAAGGATGGGTACTTAAGCAGCGATAGAATTAGAACTGGACAGTGGCTGCCCTTGACTTCCACCCCATGAAAGTAAGTGTTTGTTTTTTTTTCCCCAGTTATGTTAACTTGGGAAAAAGTGCCTTCCAGAAAGAAGTGCAATTCTCTGTACTCCAGTAGTAGTTTTCAGTTATATTCTACTGAACACACAGTAACGCACAGTAGGTCTTTTTGAAGACTTCTCATGCTCCAGCTACACATAGTCCCCTCAGAAACCCGAGGTGTTTACTTTGACACCACACTACAGTCCCCTTCATGTTTTATCACCATTCAGTAAAACTGGTTGATACCAAGATCTAAAGCCCATGTTCACTGGGGACAGTTGGATGCTTTTCAATTTCTTACAGATGACTGCAAGTTTTTTATGGTAAGTTAAATGTTGCCCTATATTCTATTTTATAATTTAAGCCACGGTCTGTGCTAATATATAAATAGAACAGTGGAGGTCCACCCATCGCTGCTGGTGATGAGCAAAGCAAAAGCCCCTGGATCTGTCAGGGAGATACCTCCCTTAATAAAGGGCAACCTTCCTGCCCTGCCTGGTAGTCTTCTTCATTCTCAATAAGAATGATCATCAGGAGCTATTGGGATAATAGTATTAGTTTAGTCAAAGTTAGGTACTTCAGCTTTGCCACTTGTATTTTCTGTTCTTGTTCCCTGTGAGCAAATTTTTGGAAGGTATTGCAACAAACAAGCTTTCAGGAGAGCTATGGAAGTTAAAATTTTCCTGCAGGAGGTAAACGAAACAGGAGATTGCTGAGAAATATATGCAGTTTGGGCTAAAGTAAGCATTTGGGCTTACAGATGGATTATGGCTCTTATATCAATGATAACATTAAATGAAATGATATAATTATGTCAAAACTTAGTAGCTTGTGTGTGTTGTAATAGTCAACGCTGTTTTATGAGACTTGAACACTGCAATTTAATTTCCTAGTCTTGTTGATAATACAAAGTCAAAAGACCAAGACAGTGCTCCCAGAACAAGGCAGCAGTTCACTACTGCACATCTGGTTTGGTGACTCAAACAAATGGATGCTTGGAGTTCAGTTTTTCTAAACACACTGAGGACAAAGAGACCTTGGCTGTTTCTTTGCATGCTGGGCTTAAATAATTCAGTGCCAAGTAAAATTACATTTTGTATGTTTATGCAATCCAGAAAGGGTTTTCTTTGTTCTTTTAAATCCAAGCTAAGGAATAAAAATCGGAACCAGCTGGTTTCCTACAGTTGTGGGTGGATGGAAGAGCTGCATCTACAGAAAGATTTCTGTGCAACTTAGCAGGGAAGCATGGCTGTGGCCTTTTGACCTGAAAAGGTCACTTTGGAGACTAGGATTAAATAGCTCTTTCCAGATAATTGCCATACCCCAAATGAGCTGCTCCAGAAGTGGCTCCTTTTCCCTTTGCACAGTGCTGTGAGATTCTGTCAGCAGGTTTCCAGTTTTGTTTCCATTCCAAGAGATGGCGGTGCAGGCAGAGGTGATGTGATTTGTGTTTTCTGCTCTTGGCTCTAGAAGAAAAACTTTAAAAGAAAAATGTATTCCTGGCTCTAACGTTCTAAAAATGTTTGTTCCCTGTGAGAGTATTTCTGCCTGCCCAGAAGCTGTCCTAGTAAGGAGTCTGCTGTAACCTTTCATGCCATGCTTTGGGCCGCATCAGAAGCAGCAAGTATGAGAACTAGGCTTCCGAAGCTTGGATATACAATGGAAAATTACTAATTGGGACTGTAGAACTCCACATGGACTAGCAGAGAGCCTAGTCTGAAATGGTAAGAGCTTTTCTCAGTAGAGAAAGAGCTTTGTCTCAGTAATGGGCATTCCTTTGCCCCTGGTACCTGATCTAGAGCTAAGTGAAGGAGGTTTTGTTCTAAAACTTGCAAGGAATGTTGCTCGTTTACCTTAGGTTGAACTTCTTCAGGGACAAAGTTTGAAGTCAGTGGTGCAGGCTGTGAGGAAGCAAATGTTTTTCCACTCAACTGCACTTCTGAGTGGAACTGAGTTCAGTTCCAAGGGTGTCACAGCTTTGGGATTTCTTGTGCATAGCAAAAGGGTGATGAATAAATCACTTCTAAAAAAAATAAAAAAATAAAAAAAACTCACAAAGAAAGGTAGTGATACTCATGGACTTTATCTTCCATTCTACTTGTGTGCAAAGGCTTTGGTCGGGACTAGTTTTGGTTGTGATCTTTTCTCAGCTGATGTCAGCACAAACAAGATCGCACCCTAAAGATTAGCATGAGGGTAAGGCTTGCCTGCCTGTGTGACTTACACAAGTTGTCTCGTGTGTCTGCCTTATCTTCCTCACCTGCAACACAACAGGGATGACACTACTTACAGATTTCAGGATGGAACTATAAGAATTAATTCTTTTTCATTTTTTTTCCCCTCTTAACTGTGTGCAAGTCATTTCCTAGTTCCCAACAGCAGTAAAGGCCAGGCGGTGCAGGATACTTGGTTGAAGCAGTGATTGTAATGATTATTATTAAAATAGGCAAGTTTTAAGAGATTTGAAACTTCAGGTTGTAAGTCTTAACGGACAGTTTACTTTCTAAGCCTGGATTGCTGATCTAGTGCCTAGATGGTGTGGGGTTTGGAGCAAACCTAGTTCTCTGCCAGTGATTTTCTGAGTTGGGAATCTCTCCTTTCTTGCTGTTCTTCCTCAAAAATGCATCCCGTGAGGATGGGAACCCGCCAGAGCAGAGGAGACACAGCTGTTAGGGCAGCAAAGCCAATGGAACTTGTTATGGAAGAAATGCTGAATGACCACAGAGCAATGCTGTCTTTGTGGTGCTTTGTCAGATAAATGTCACGAACTTGTTTGCCATAGCTATAGCTCGAGCTGATACAGAGTGAAAAGAGGGGCAAGATGACAAACTTGTATAGAAAAGGAAGTGAACGCGATGCTAATGCCTTGTGACAGGCAGTTTGCAAGTTCCTGCTGGGGTGCTGTGGAAGCCTGAAATTCGTGGTTTCTGCTGCTTCCTTTTCTGGCTGTTCTTTAAAAAATATCTACCCAGTGTTGCCAGTGGGACTAGACCATCAAATCTTTCTGCCCTCCTCTGTTACAGGGCCTGGCAGAGAAGGGAGTAAAACAAACATTTTAATTTGGGGTTGTTTTTGAAAACAAGGCAGAGTCTGCCACGTGCTGTGAGTTGAAAAGAGAAGGCAGTAATAATGCAGGGGGATGCTGACGTTTGCAGGTGTGCTGCAAGGACCAGATGATCATTTCATGCCGAAGAAACATGCTCTACACTTAGGGCACCTGTAGAGTTAGATTCCCAGAAAATGCTGATATTTGTTTTTAATGCAGATCCATCTTGCTGTGTCTACTGAATACAGCTGTGCAAATTGCCATAATAGCACTGAGATTATCTCTCTGAACTATTTTAATGGATTTAAGCCATATTGAAGCACTCAAAGAAATTGGCTGCTCAGCTCGTCTGAGAATAAAGCCATTAAACGGCCTCAACCTAGACATTCAAGACAAAAGCCGTGGTCATGGTTTCTTGGTACCGTGAACGGGCTGCGTGTGGTAGCTTCCTGGCTTCCAGCAAGAAACAGAGCTTTGGGGTGACTGTAACACGGGTCTCACATCCTTTTGTCTGCCTTAAGCTAGTCAAGTTGTTACAAGTATGTTGGAACTGTTGGAAATTAATCTCATTTTGGGTCTGTCTGCAGCTTGGAAAAGCCACATCCTTTCTGTGTCTGCACAGGTGCATCACGAGGTGAGCTGTAGGGAGTGGGTGAGCTTAAATTTGCTGCTGAGGAATGTGACACTTGTTTAGTCTTAACCATGATGGCATTTGGATGGCCTATTTCAGCACAAAGAACATGAATTTGAGTTTGTGGTTTAGCCCCAGGACTGGAAGTTAGTAAATGCAGGCACTCTTCCGGGGCTGCTGCTGATGCACACTGGTTGTGTGACCTTGGGTAACTCATCCCATCCTCTGCTGTGTGACTTCATCTCTGCAAAGCAGCAGAGCACGTAACCACCATCAGAGGTGTGCCCGAGCCTCTAAAATGTTCTGAAAGGTTGAGATAGAAAGACAGTAAGTCCCTGGTTCTGTTGCAGCTACACAAGGAAATTAAATTACCTTTGCTTGCTGACTGCTTGTTACACTTCAGTCACTGAGCCCATTCAGGATGAAAGTAGATGAAAGCAAGGCTTCTGCTCTCGGTTGCTCCTTACCCGGTCGTACCAAGGGTTTATTTCTCATGACATGACCTCCCAGTCCCTCGGTTTTACTGGGCTCTCTCTGAGAAGCTTTGTTTGCATGGGTTTCTTGCTACAGTGATCTGAAAACAGAGCTGAAGCTTGGAGGCCTCACCTCTGCTGGTGGTGCCCTGAAGCTGCCAACGATTGTTGTTCTGATGCTGCGAGTCCCAGCGAAGGTGAGCTTCATATCCTCCACGGAATGCTCACTGCCCGTGTCAGACATACAAAGCAGGATTCCATGGTGAGCCCAAACAAGCAGAATGCCAGGGTAACCTCCTCGTTGTCTTTTCCCAAGACTGTGGCTATGCAGAAGCAAATCCTACAAGGCAATCCCAGTCTTATAGAGCAGGGTGCTGAGGAGCTGAAGGGGCGGAGATGCTTTTTGTCCTGGTCTAAATCTTTGAAATAAGTTTTGATTGTGTTTGGCCACTTTCTTAGTAACACAAAGGTTTGGTCAGTTCCTAAACCTTCCAGCTTTGTACTTGGTTCCTGAATCACTCCTTTGATTTCATGTGGATAAGGTCTGCAATGCTTCCTGTCCTAAAACGGTCTTGGTCTTCTAGGTGGTGTTGTAGTTGGATGCATTTTGGCAGAACATGTAATGATCCCTGTCTGATTGTTTATTGTTCTAAGTTTGTAATGTACTTCTGAGATGAAAAGGGCTATAGAAATGTAGTAGTATTGCCTGGTTTTCCCTCATCATTGTCAGTGCAATGTGTGCTGGCAAGACTGTAGTTGACCAGCCACGTGAATCTTAACTATGGTTCACAGGCAAGCCCTTTTTTTCTAAAACAGGAGTGAACGGAGCCAGACAGACCTATAATTCATTCCCAAGCAGATGAAAATAGTTTCCAGTATCAAGAGAATTCAGTTTTTTAACAGCACACACCCAAACTGGTAAATTGCAGCTCCATTTCACGGGAGAAAAGCCTTGACTTTGTCAGCTGGTCTGGAAAAGAAGGCCACGCGTGGCTGCAGATTATAAAGCAGCCCCGGCTGGGTGGCCATTTGGCTGGAACACCCTGTCATCTCCACCACCCACTATTTGGAGACTGGTTTTGAGGTAGCAGCGTAAACGTTCCTTCCCTCCCCAACAACCTAGTATTAGACTAATATAAAAAGGCCCTGAATTCCCTGCAATAGCAGTCGGAGGAGCTGAGGTGCCCATCGGGGCGCTGAGCTGAGAGGCTCTACACCTCTGCAAAACACAGTGGTTTTCTCCAGTCTGTCCCACAAGCAAATCCACAAAATGCCAGGAGACAGCTCCTCACTACCAGTCCCATTTTTAAGAAGTGGGGAAACGAAGGCACGGAGCCATCTGGTGAAAGGAAAAGGTCAGTCTTAAAAATAAAACTGTAGCTCTTCTACAAGAGAACTTTTTATAGGCCCAAGGGTACTGATGCCTGAATCTAGCCTCAAAGTCTCTTCTAATATTAGCAAAATAACCATTTCGCAGGAAGCTGACAGAGAGGTAACTGTATGCCCATGAAAGTAGCTGGCTGTAAATAGTTACTTCACAAACAGACTGGGATCTATCAGCAATTTGGTGTTTGAGGTAAGGCCTCTCGAGCCCTTTGAGGGTTCTGGAAACACTTTCCCAATCTTCTTTCAGCCACCTCCAGCTCCCATCCTTGCCTGGCCTCCAGACCTCAGCAAACTACGTGCGTTTGTGCGTTGCTTGAAATGCGCTGGTCTAATCCTCGTAAAGACACCACTTGGCTGTAGGATCTCCAAACTGGAGGCGACAACAGCTGCATCCTCCGAAGAAGCTGTTTTGGGCTGTCGCAGCTGTGCGACTTGGGGAGCGGTTGCAGGGGGCCATGGCAAGACCCTGCACGAGGGCGAGGTGTGGGTGCTGCTCCCTGTGCCCACCCTCTTGCCGTGCCCCCCGTCCATCCTGCGGCTCTGCTCACCGCAGGCTCCATGGGGCAGGCTGCTGCTGCTGCGGCCGGGAGCTGCTCTGTTGAACTCGGTTTGTTTTGTACCTCCACTCCCCTAACTGCTTTGGCATTTCGCTCAGGCTAAGAGGCCCGTGCACTGTGACAGCTGTAACATAAGCCATGTCCTGCTTCTTTTATCCAGACATGTGTTTCATATTGCTTTTTCCTCCCCCCCCGTATGTACACGCTGCTGCGGCTGGACAAGCCCCCAGCCAAACCCGTTAAGGTTTTCTTTTGCGAGGAGAACTTGGCCTGCTTCTCTCCCTCCCTCCTTCCCCCTGCCCTTCTCCCCTTGCTCCTCCCCCCTTCCTTTTTTTTTTTCCTAAACTTTGTTTTTCCCATACTTTGTGGAACCATCTTAGCTGTAACAAACAAGCTGCAGAGACCCTTCATTAGCAGGGTGGAAACTTCCCCTCCATCCCCTTTGAACCTAGGGCTGAGCTGGAGGCGTGTGGGTCTTACCCACCAGATCTTCTCACGCAGGCAGTTCCAATTCGGTCAGGTCTTTGCAGGAGCTGCCCTCCCTTCCACCTTAATGGGACCGGAGAGAAGTGGAAATACCTGATCCTTAGCATTCCTCCCCACAGGCACGTGTGGGAATGGGGAAGACATCTTTCTGGGAGAATTGGCTTTCTGCCCCTCTGCCTGCCTGTTTGTAAACAGCTGAGTGCCCCGGCGCTGCCTGCAAGAGGCAGGGGGGCAGCTCAGTGTTAGGAGCCGCAGGATCTTCCAAACAGTATGATCAGCTTCAGAGAGCAGAATATAGGGTCTTTGGGTTTGGGAAAATAGGGTTTGGTCAGCCTCCTTGCCAGCCCCCTCTTCCCATGCCCAGCAGCAAGCAGTGCACATTGTGGGATACCCCTCTGTGTAAACCCAAGGCTTACAGTGGGTCATTTCATGTATTTGGGGGATCCTTTTCCTTTTCTTCTTCCCTTCACGCTGCCTTCAGACCCGATGGTCTTGGTATTGAAAACTGTACCCCATGTCTGTGTATGGCTGTGTTCGCTCTCAGAGCAGCGGTTTCTCATGCTGTTTTGAATAGTAAACCAGCATCTGTGCCGGATACACTGGCTGCCTTTTTTTTTTTTTTAAATGCTTGTTAGAAGCTGTGTAAAATCTTTCCATTTATTTCTATTGGACACAGATGCTTTACTTGCACAGTATGCTAGTTTCCCGGCTGGGGTTTGTTTTCTAAGCTCTCTGTTTGCTTCAGGATTTGGGAGATAAAACTCAGCTCCAGCTGGGAGGAGCTCTGGAGAAATGCTGTCGCTGGCACCCACCCGCGTTTGGTTTGACACGCGTTTGCCTGTGCTGGCAGCTACTCTCTAATGGCACATCCACTATTTGTACGGACGAGCAGCCCAGCTCTCTTGCCCAAACTAAGTGCTAATACACGAAAACCTCACCGCGGAGAATGCCCTGTGCCAGACCTGCTTATCAGCTAAGGTCACATTCCATAACAGCAACAGCGAAACGAGCGCACAGCCTTTCTAATCAACAAAAAAGTTGCTTGCTTCTGCTCTGACTGTAGAAGCAACACCAGACTGCAGGCTGGGTCCTTTTGTTAGCAGCACGGCAGCAGCACGGCTTTCTGGAATCCTGTTAAAAGCTTTTCTCTTGCCACCTTGCTCCGGAGTGTCCCCTTGCAGACAAATTCAGGCTAGCGAGCACTACCCAAGGGCTGCTTTTGCAATTTGCCATACAAAGAGCTACAAAGGCTGCAGCTGCTTGCTAAGTAACCGAACGCTAAGGTGCTACGCTACGGTTGACCGCCCAGCAGCGAGAGCTCAGCCTTACCCCAGCCGTGCCACGAGCTCTTCTCCTCCTCTTGTTTTTCCTCCTCTCCTCTTCAACTTTCACGTCATCTCTCCCCTCATCCTGGCTCGTGTCTCGCTCCTCGCTCGGCTCCTCTCTGCTCTGCTGCTGACAGCCAGCTGTTGTCTCTGCCTATTTTTTTGGTGCTGCTGGCGGGGCGATGCCAAGTTTCGTGTTACAGGGGTGCCAGCGCGGGAGGGCAGCCGGCCGGCAGCGCACCACGGGGCAGCCGCTGCTGCAGCCTCCCACTTGTTGCTGGCTTCCGCTGCGCATCTCCTCCTAGCAAGGTCTTTTCTTTTTTTCTTTTCGTTTGATTCTCGCCTCGCAATAGTTTGGGTGTGTGTTAAAGCAATTAACTCTTCTTTATGCTGCCCGGTTTCCTTCCGACTCCCGGGGGAAGGAGCTTTCTCGGGTGTGCTTTGAAGGGGCAGAGCGAGAAATCGCAGCGACAGCGCAGCGCGGTCTGCTGCTGGCACGGGGGTGATGCTGGAGGTGAATTTGTTTCGTGCCCCCAGACGAGTCATTTACTCTCTCGAAGCCTTGGTTTTTTGCTTCTCGTGTACTGGGGACAGCTGTCACCCGCTGTCATGTCCCTGAGGGCTGCTGAAGTTCAGCTGCAGTACAGCTATGCCGTCCTTCAGACAGGTGCAAAATGATAATGCCTCATCAACCACATAATTTGCCCTTCTATTTGATAGAGCTCATTAAATGGCTTTTGTTCAGCAACCGACATCTACATAAATAATTTGTCTTTATAGAATTTTTGTCATCTTAATCCCGCTCTCATTTCATGGCTTTATTCCAAAACTCGCTGTGTTTTGGGGGAGCTCTTCCGATGAGGCTGTGTACCCTTCTTTGGCTGCCACGAGGGAATGCTTTCTTCCTGGTGTATTTTGGCAGAGACAAAGCCTCTTTTCAGATACGTGACTTTGCTGCTTCTCTGACAGTTGATCTGTTTCTGCTAATTGCAGGAATAGTGCTACCATTTTCCCCAACGTACAGAAGTACAAAAAGGAGGCATGGAGCAGGCATCCAGGGGGGTCAGTTCAGTGCTTTCCTGAAATGCATTGCCACAGACAAAAACACATTAATCATCTCAACTGTTATTTGCTCTTCATCCTATCCCATTATATAAAGTAGGGTAGGATGTCTCAAATGAAGTAATGATTTTACCTAGACGTTTTAAAGACCAGTGGAAAGCTCATGTGTACTTCTGTTGAAGGATGGGTGAGGCAAACAATACAGATGCATATTTGAAAGGCTAAATAATCTTAGGATATGCATAAGAATGCAAACTACCATTAATTGATGTAAAGCAGCTCTCCATCTCTGGGGCATTAGTCAGGTGCTCATGTGACTTGGGAAGTTTCCCCACCACATGACAATGCATAACCAGCTGTGTTTCAAGACCTCTTGCATTCAGTTAAGCATTGCTCCAGTGGTTCTCCCAGCACCCCTACTGGTAACTATTTTTCGTTTTTTGACTCCAGTTATGGGGCTGCAGTCTTAGTTCTGCAACTGAATTCCCGTTATGACCCAACTCACAAGTGCTGTTAGCTACGTGAGGCTGTGGCCCTGATTTGGGGTGTTTCTGTATGAAGATAAAGACAATTATAGCAAGCTGCACTGAAAAAAAAAGTCTTTACAAGCCTGATAGGCTAGCAACTTGAACGTCTCTAAATTCCAGTGACTTCAGAGCTGATCTCTGCTCCCCCAAAACCCTCCTTTGTGGTGTCTGTCATGTTTGCATTCAGGCACAGATTGCATGTGAACACCTCAGCATAAGCCTGGTGAGTAGGAGGGGGGAGAGGGCCTGGCCATTTCTGTATGCCTCAGTTAACTCTAATTCGGATCAGTGTGTGTGAGAGCGAGACGTGGACTAATGAGAATGCCTGCCTGTTTTCTTTTGGGGAAACAAAAAGCTCACTTGCAGCTCATTGACATTTTTATAGTCACATTGCATTGGCAGGACAGGCCGCACCAGCAGTTCTTTTGGAAAAGCAGAACAAGGGGATCAAATGTGTTGCCCCCTTCCCGGTCCCCCCACCCTTCCCCACCATGTGAAAGGAGCTCTTTCTTTGAGCGCAAGGCAAGAGTGAGTCAGTGTGGCTCTGCAGGGGGATATAAAGCCAGCTTTGTAGTAGCCCTTTCAGGCTTTCAGTGCCCAAGCCCCTGCAGCACATCACCGCTGCTCCAGCCCTTCTCACCTGAGCAGTGCCAGGTCCTTTGCACTTCAGCACACGTGCTCCATCGCTCCGGCAGCAGCAGCCTGTAACCTGCTGCTTTCCTTGTTCTGCTGCTTAAAATTCACCGGGTCGTGGGAATGAGCGAGCCGGCAGCCTCTGCAGCCCCTTACGGGGTTTGTTAGTGATGCTCTGGTAGACACGCAGTTATGTTCCCCCAGACGCACGCACACAAGTTCACAAGCGAGCTGTGTTTGTTAGTCAGATCTCTGGCAAGTTCAGGCGTGCCTTAAAGGGTTTCTAAAAAGAGTAAATGAAGTGTTCCCTCTTGTACTTTTCCTCTGTGTGACCCACTTTTTGCACATGAAGTTGGTAAGCCAACTAGGGCACTCCTTGGTAGAGAAGCAAAATCTCCACTTTGATCTTCCTTTCAGTAAAACAATTCTCTTGTTGCTGCTTGACTGCAGGATTTATCTCTAAATACCCGATGAAGTGTTTCCGTGTATTGGGTATCGGGATTTAGAGGAGGATACAACTGGCTGCCTGTGCTGTGAAACCCGGCTTTTCAAAAGCTCTTCTAAATTCTTCCAGCTTTCTAAAAAAAAAAAGTGGCTGCCTGGTTCTTCTTTCTCTAGCACAATCAACATCTTCCCTGGTTTAAGTTAGGGAGTGTTCTAGAAGAGAAATTGCTTCCTGCCTGTATCGCTAATGAGCATTTATTTATCTGTCACTGAACTTTTTTAACATATCCCACAGCACTGATGGCTGCCAGAAATCTTTGAAGATTCCTGGAAGAAGAAGCTAGTCATCTTCACAGGGCTAGTTTGCTAAGGCTGGTGGAGCTGGTTGTGCAATACTGTTTGAGCAAAGGGACTGGTTTACGTGGGTGTCGGACTCTACCCAAACTCCCCACGGATCTGAAGCACTGTTAGCAAGTCAAGCACCTCAACTGTATGTGTATTTTCCGAATAGCGCTCCCTTGTGTCTTCAGTCCAGACTTTATTTCTGACTTAATTAACATTCCTGTATTCAAACGTGGATTTGTTACCTTCAAACCACGGACAATAAAATGAGAAGCTTTCCAGTGTGAAATACGTGGGCATATTCTAAACTGTAGGACGTAGGTATCAAGAGGGCCTCTTTACATATTTATTCTAGAGCCATTCTGATTGGACACGGAATGTATTTGGGCAGTGATGCAGAATTAATAACTGCGTATTTCACCCATTGCACATTTTGCAGAACTCAAAGGTCTGAAAGCATTTATCAGAAGGTTGATGCCACTGTTTGGTTTACATGAAGGGAAATGAAGGCACAGAGACTGTAAGCAAGATACCAGGAACACAACCCCAGTTCTGCTCCAGGACTTAACCACTGTATTTCCTGCTGGAATAGGCATTCTCTGCAAAAAAGGACCCAAGTCTTTATCAAAAGACAACTTACATTTGGAGGGTTGGAGTTCTGAAATGAAAATAATTGCCCAATCATTTTTCCTTTTGTCTCCTAGGTGTCGTCATGCTGCCATAGCAAAGTACTTCGGCGATGTCACTCCACCTTGTAATAAGTGCTGCGATTACTGCAAGAACCCAGGGGCAGTGAAAAGGCAGCTGGAGTCACTGGAGCGCTGCAGCAACAGCTGGAATAAAACCTGCATCGGGCCCTCAAGTTCCTCTTGGGATAGCTACGACCCAGAGCTGTATGAAGGAGGAAGGAGAGGTTGCAGAGGTTTTAGCAGGTCCGTACTTGGTAGCTCAAATTCTGCTCACAGGAGCTATCAGAGAGAAGAGAGCATCTCACAGCTGCAGGCCCAGCCACTCCTATTTTCTGCACATGTTTCTGTGTGGTGGTATTTTCCTGTAACTTCCTGGCAGCAGGAGCTGGAATTTCATTTTCCACACACTTTGGCAGCCTTGATCAAATTCATGTCCCAGAGAGCAAAAAGCTGTTTTGAATGACCTAAGAATTGCCCTGCAGAAGGTAATTGGTTCAAGAAACCAGGCTGAAATTTTTGAAAGCACTAAATGGGCGCAGCCATGTTCACAGTCACAAGGTTCAGAAATGTTTAAACTGAGACCAGCTTGAGAGCAAAGCACGATCCAGAGCTTGTTCCTGGCTTAGTGCTGATGTCTGTGGGCCAGCAGGCTGGGGGACCAGTGACAGAACTTAGTCATCACAGAGGATATAATGGTGTGCCAGCATCAGATTCTTCTGCTGATTGCTAAATTTTAGTGTTTCCCCATCAGGCTGAGAGCAAAAGATGTGCAGTCAGAAACATGATTTATTCTGTAAAATGTTTGGCAGTGTGGAGATGGCAACTTCTCTTCTTCCTTGTTCGTTGGCTGCATTGCAGCCATCGTGCAGCTCTGCCAGGATGAGTTTCCCCGTTTGCATTGCCTGTGGAACTCTTCCAGGATGCACAGCGCCGTCGGCTGGTGTAGGCTTCTGCTTTCCCTTAGCCTGAGACTCGAAGCTTTGTTCTTCGGGCAATTCCAGTTGAGTCAGAGGAAAGTGGTGTACTTGTGCCATAAGCTTGTGTTTGATCTCGGGACCTGAGAAGACACTGCCGAGGAATGGATGCTGTGGCCTTTCTGCCATCTCAGCTCCAAGGGCAGTAATGACTGACAGGGTACATGACCCAAAGCAGTGACTACTCAGCCCCATGGGAGGAGCTGTCAGAGCTTCTGAAATGAAGTCCTACATTCTCAGAGCACTAGTTGCCTGCTTACTAGTTCATGAGATTAATAAATCCCATCGACACTGCTGTCCAGGTTGAGTAGTAGTGAAACTAAGAGTTTAGACTCATTCAGAAAGGCTCTGAAATACATCTTCTCTAAATCCTGGGATGACCTAAGCTTCCCAAAGCCTTTGCCCCAGGTAATGCTACGTCTGTAGAAATGTTTTTTCCTTTTGTTCTCCTGCCTTATCCAGGTATGATGAAGAAAGCAGCAGGAATGGGGATGAAGCCAATGAAGAGATTCGGAAACGGGAGTGGAACGACTTCTACAAAAAGCAGATGAGTCTGCGCAAAGTGAGTTTGTGTACCTTTGTAAGAGATTCACAGATTGTTTGCTCTTAGCCTTTATGCTGTGAG